CTTGCTGAGCCTGGCCAAAGTCCTTGACCACTAGGAACCTCTGCACAATGGGCATAACAGTGACCCCTCACGGAGGGGTGAGGAAGGTGATGTGAGTTGGTGAATGCGGAGCTCCTGGGAGAGATGATCCCTGTTGGTTACCCTCTGATCCTGAGCAAAGACCTGTCTGGCATAGGAGCCAGGCCCAAATTCATGGCCCAGTCGTGTCCAGCAGGGAAAGCTCCTCAGGCTTTCCCCACAATCAGACTGCCTGGGGTTGCATCACTGGCTCCAAGGGGTGTGTGCATGGGCTCCACCTGACGTCATGGCTCAGGTGCAGGTGCCTGGACCCCTGATACACAGACCTGGGCCCTGTCTGTAGGGGAGGCGTACCCATGTTCTCAGCCCCTTCCCTTTCAGGGAGAGCTGGGGACACCGAGAGCTGCTCACACGCCTGACTGTCCCCCTGAGGCCTGGGCTGCAGCTCAGGCTGGCTCGCCCAGCACCCACGTGCCGTCGCTCTATTTCCATCACTCGGGACAGATGGCAGGAAGCAGAGGTGGGCGTTGTGTCGTGCAGGCCCTTGGGATTAGGGATGGGGAGGCTTCTGGGAGCTGGGATTCTCCACCCACCCCTGGGCACAGATGTGGGCCAGACAGCAAACCTTGGTGGGGAGGATCCTACAGATCCCAGCACTCATGCACACACATACACACTCACATATATACTTATGCATACCCACGCACTCGCACATCTGTGTACATGTAAGTACACACACACTCACACCTACACACATGCACACACACGCCCCGGGCCTTATCCTTACAGCCCTGGGACAGAGCTGGGGTGGGATGTCCTGTGTGGCCCCAGTCCTGCCTCTCATGGCTCCCCTACTCTCCAGCAATGCAGGTCTCACACTAACCCAGGACTTGCCCCAAGCAACTGATTGGCATCAATCTCCGGGCTCTGCTCATCAACCAAAAGATATAGCAACATCAGTGTTTCCTCTGTTTATGGGGCTCAGGCCACATGCCAAGGACCAGGGAAAGTGGGCTGATTGGGGATCTCATTTGTCTAGGAGATGGGGCTGTTCTCCCCCAGGGGAGTAAGGAAACCATGGCACAGAGGAGCTAGGTAACTTGTCTGAAGACACACAGCTAAGGTGAGAAGGGGGCAGAGCTGGCCCCAGTTCTGCCTCATGGAGCCATGCTACCTGCCTGGGCCACCTGTCTCCTGCAATAGCAGACAGCAGGTGTCTGAGTGTGAGTCTGTGAGTTTATATGAAACGGAATGCATCTCTGCGTGTGTCTCTGTGTATGTGTGTTTGCATGCTGAGGGACATGGGGCCTGCATTGTGGCTCTTTGGGTAAGGCCTCCACCTTGACCTTGAGTCCATAGGACACATGCCCTCATTCTCAACTGTACTGCCCCTGACTGCTCAGCACAATGACCTGGGTCCAGGTGGGGGCCTGGCAGAGGCTATCTCAGGCCCAGAAAGAAACAGAGAGACCAGGCATTGTCCCAAATCACTGAGGTGCATTGGCTATCCTGGAGCTGCTACCCAGGATGCCCTCCAGGAGAGATGCTCTTAGGACAGGGCTGGGATCCAGCATCAAGGAAGTGCAGATCTTGCCCCCTCCGCTGCCCACTGCTGTGGGCCAGTCAGAGGTGGAGATGAGGCCAGCAGGGCTGCTCTGCCTGGCTGAGCACAGCTCAGGCCCGGGCCAGCCTAACAGAGGGGGCAGCTGGGCTGACAGATGGGGCAGCCGCTCCAAGCAGGAGTGATGTGTGTGTGAGGGGGTGGGCAAGGCCCCCTGAGATGCGGGACAGGAGCCCTCTCAGCTGTCCTCCAGCTTCAGCTCAGTGCCCTGTCCCTCCCCACCACCTCTGGCACCCAGAGATGTCCTGGACTCTCTCCCTGTCACGTGGCTGCACTGTGACATCCTAGGACATGGGCTGATCACAGCTCACAGCTGTACCTGTTCAAGGGAAACATCACTCAGCTGGGGCCAGGGCTCGGGGTGGGGTGAAGTGGTGCCCCCCTGCTCTGTGTCTCCCCCTCTGCTCTGTGCCTCCCCCCTGCCCTGTGCTTTCCCCCTGTTCTGTGCTTTCCCCCTGCTCTGTCCCCTCTTGTCCCAGCTTGGGGCTCCTGGAAAGGCACACACATTAATTTCTCTCCTCTCTCTCTCTCTCTCTCTCTTCTTTTTCTTAGAAATCAAAGGTGCTCTTCTCCACCCACCCCCAGATGCCAACTCGGGGCCCTGTAGTTACTCCTGGGGTCTCCAGAGAGGCCTGGAGCTGGGTAGGAGAGAGCTGGGGCAGGGAGAGCTCTGAGCCCCAGCTCCCAAGTCAGTAAATCTGCTCTTCCTTTCTTGAGCATTTTGAAAAGAGAGAGGACCTGAATTTAAAACACTGGGGTCTTCTCCTTCACACCTCTCAGTCAGCAAGTTCAAAAAGAAAACATAGCTGGTTCAAGGTCAATGGCTGAGGCAGGGGGATGGAGAGGAGCGGTATGGCTTAGGTGGTCCCCTCACTTGTAGGACCAGAGGGCGCAACGAGACCCAGCCCATGGAGCTGGTTAAGATGCTCTCTCTCTTGGAGATGGTACCAAGAGGTATCATGTCAAGCCCCTGCCTGCAGTGCCAGCCTCCCATATGGAAGTCCCAGCTGCTCTACTTCCCATCCAGCTCTCTGCTTATGGGCTGGAAAAGCACTAGAAAATGGCACACGTCCTTAGGCCCCTGCACGCAAGTGGGAGACTCAGAAGAACCTCCTGACTCCTGGCTTCAGACTGACCCAGCTCCAGCTGTACCAATCATTTGGGGAGTGAACCAGGCAATGGAAGATTCTCTCTCCTCCTCTCTCTCTGTTGTAACTCTGCCTTTGAAGTAAAAATAAATCTACTTATAAAGAATAAGATAAAAGATAGTCCCTTCTCTCATGAGTCCCAGGCCAAGGGGCTTTCTCGCTGTAAGGTGGGGACAGCACTCAGAGCTGCCTGACGAGTTGCACGAAGCTCCAAGGAGATGAGGGTGGGTGGCACTTCGGGGCTCTGGACCCCTTGTATGGCTCTCAGTGTCTTGAATGAGAGTGGCAGGCACTCCCAGGGATGATTGACGGAAAGTTAGCCAATGACTGAGGAATGTGGAGGGAAGGCTGAGAGGCTGGGCTGACAGTTCAGGGTGTTATGGGGTGAGGGTGGGCCTTGACTGTGGCTGACAAGTCGACCAGGTCTTTGCTGTCCTTGAAGCCAATAGACTCTTCCAGGCTCCCCCTAGGACCTCTGTCCCTGTGGGGCCAGTCACAGAAGGGACCCTAGCAGGAATGCAAGTGGTAGATTCACTGGGATCCAGAAACTGGCTGGGGAGGAGAGGGAGGCCATGAGTGTGGGACCACAACGGCTGAGCATACGCCCAAATGCACTCAAAGGTCTCCTACCTTCTACCCCTACCCCATGCATCTGGGAGGAGCAGGGACTCAAGTACCCAAAGCAACCTCCTGCAGTCAGGGTCAGCAGAGGGGCCTGGTGGAAAGATTGCCTCCCTGCTGGTGGACAGAGCTGGCTGGGCACATCTACGAGCAGCCGATTCTATCCCGATGGATAGAAATCCATGGGCATGCAGGGTGCAAGGTACTGTGGCCCGTGGCTGGGGCTATAGGGCAAGCACACGTGTACACAGACTAGCTATAGGACGTGTGCAGCCTGCTGCCTGTGGATGCGTGGGGCCTGCGCTGCATGTGATGTGTGCATGCAGAGTGAGTGTGAACCAACCGGAATAAGGTGCTAAGTTTTCCTGCTTCTGTCCTGGCATGCCTGGCAGTTGCCAGAGCACAGTTGGGACAACAAGAAGGCATCTTTTTCAAGGCGACTTGCCACTTTGCTCCCAGGGCTTCGTGCTCTCATGTCTGCTGACGTTGCTGATGTTGAGAGATGGACTCCACAGGGTAGGGGCAGCCCAGGCCCCGAAACCAGTTTCTCCTTGGGGTGGGGGAGGGTAGTGGTGGAAGAGAGGCAGGAAGTCATCTTTGTTGTGGGGAGTCCCTGTGAGATACATCCCAGGATGCATCATTTCTTACAACACCCTGACTTTATTTGGATCCTTGTGCCCTTGTTTCTTGCTGCCAGCAGGTGCTGGCTGGAGCCCCAGCAGCCCTTAAGGAAGGCTCAGGGATGGAGGCCAGTGAGACAGACAGAGCCCTCGTCCCAACTGCCTAGCGCACTAGCCCTTTTATCTCACCTCTAAGACTGCTGCACGGGAGAGACACACTGCCAGCCTTGGCTCAACCACTGGCCTCTGGGAAGCTGTGCTCCTAGCACCCAGCCCCAACATTGCTTCTCTGGCTGGGATGCATCCCAGGGCAGCAGGCCAGGCCTCCCGAGGCTTAACTCCCTGCTGGTCGGAGCAGAAGGACTCAGCTGCTTTGCCTCCTCTCAGTCCTCCTCATGAGTTCTCCTCCTTCCTTCCCCTCCCGCAGCAGCCCCGTTTCTTGATCTCCTTGCCAGGCATCCCCTTTACATTCTGTCTGGCCTCCCAGCGATCCCGCGGAGAGGGGCCCGTTAACAAGTGTCTTTGTTGGGGCTCTCACAGGCCTCTCAGAAGAGGGAGGCCTTCGCCAACTACTTGGTTGATGGATGAAAGGATGCATTCACAGCCAAACACTGAGCAGGAGGCACCTGTGCCCCAGGACCCTCCCCTCCTTCAGCCCTAAGGGCAGGGGCCCAGGGTCAGGATCAGCTGCGCCAGGACCTAACTGCACTGGACCTGGCTCCAGGCTGGCCTTCAAGCACCTCCCCTGCCTGGTTTGTCTTCCACAAATACACAAAACCTCTCACCCAAAAGGGGACTGGATCCCAGCCAGGACACCCCAATATACACTTTCTCCCAAGCAGTCCTTATAAGGGCAACAGGAAATGGGGTCACAAGAGGAAACGGGACAAGCTATCTTGGGTGTAGAGCAACCCCCAGAAGCCTCTGGCAGCCCCCACCATCTGACGAGCCCCCGGCCCCACCGTCACCCACCTGGGCCCGCTGCATCCTGAGCACGGAAGGGAACGGTTGCTGGTTGCTCCGCTTCGCAGCCCGGGCAAATGGGACTGCCCGGCCTGGCTGGCAGCTGTCTCATGTTTGCTTGGACCCAGACGTAATTGTCACCAGCGGCTTCTCGCCCGCCCCCTGCCCACCCCTCACTCCCTCCCTCTCTGCCTGCCTGCTTCCACCGCTCCACCCCTTCTCCTGGGTGCCCGCCCCCTGCCTCTCTCTTTCTTTCTGTCTCTCTCTCTCTCACACACACACACACACACTCACATGCGCACGCACACACACGCTCTGTTCCCAGTCACAGGCCGGGTGGGGGTAAGGAAGTGCAGGAGCTGAGGCTTGCGGGGAGGGGGCTGCAGGGCCTGGGTCGGGGGTGCACAGGACAGGGTGGGGGTGCATTCTCGATGTCAGACCAGCCTCTCCCCTCTCTGTCCCCCTTCCCTTCTCTGCCTTGTCCCTCCCTGCCAGACACCAGGTACTGGCAAGCTTCAGATGACCTGGGCTGGCCTGAAAGGAGCTGTCTCACAGAAGGTGGCTGCTCTTTGGGGACCTCATGCAACCTGCTACTCTTCAAACAGAATGAAAGCCATTGGGGTGACATGGCCAGTAAAACCTGGGGCGGTTCTCTTGTCTTTCATCTGTCTGGCTGGGCCTTCCTTACCTTCTTTTTGCCCTGTGGTGGGGCCGGCTGCAGGATTCCCTCATTCTTCCCAAATGCTGCCATCCCTGCCTGGGTTTGAGTCTGGGACCCCATTCAGGACAGCCAAGGCAGGGGTCCCACCTGATCTCCTGGAGAGTGGGGAGGCCAGGACAGGACGCCGAGGCATCCCTGGGAGATGGAGGGGACATCTGTTCAGCCCCTAGGGAAGCCACCCAGGTGCCTCAACCCTCTGCCAAGTTTCCCTTTTTGGAGCTTGGAGGAACCAGCCGGTGCAAGTGGTTCCCATGGAAACAGAGCCCAGAGACAACCCCCTCCTTTGCCACGTGCAGGAGAGCACTTGCTGGCCCATCCCTCTCTCTCTCCTTCTCTGGAACCAGCCCAGTTGCTCCAACTTTGTGTTCTTCAAGGCGAAAGGCCACAACCTAGAGCCCTGGATTTACTGAGGCCCTGGGTGCTCCCCCAGGATCTCCTTTTGGGGCAGGGTAGTGGACACTGTGGGGGGAAGTGCTCAGTAGACCTGGATTCTGAGCTGAGGGAATGGGGGTAGGTAGGCCCCTCCATGACATCAGGCAAGGAGCAGCTTCCCGGGAGTTCTGTGGCCTCTCACACCCAGGCAGCCCTATTCAACTGGCCTGGAACATGTATCCACAGACTTCCACAAGCAGAGGCACGTTGGGTGTTTTGAACCGAGGAGAGTTAAAGATTTGCCCGGTGACAAACAGCTCACAAGGCATGACCCTTCCATCCCCAAGGGAGTTCTCTGTGCCCGGATTTCACATGTTGGCTTGGAAACTGTTGACGACAGTCCTGGCCCCACTCATGGTGACAGGACCAGAGAAGCCCCTCTTCCCACTACCCCAAGCCAGTCCTGGCCCCTGACAGCCACCAGGTCATAGCTTGGTATAGGACAAGCTATGACAAAGCAGTTACCAGGACAACTACCCACCCCTGTTATACCCACCACTTGTCCTTCAGGTCATGGGCACCTCCTCCTCAGGCTGCCAGCCCAGCCAGTGCCCAGTGCAGATGCAAACCAGTGTGCCCCACTGCCCCATGTTGATGTTTGTGGCTTCTCCATGGTCCCTAAGCTCCTAGCTGGGACCCTTCCAGGGAATGTGGGGAAGTGCAGGAAGGAGAAAGAACAGGAGGGAAAGGCCTTGGACGGGATCCTCAATTCATGCTGGGGGCACTGGGACCTCAGCAAACACCCCCAGAGAGACTAAAATTGTTCACAATGTATAACCACAAGAGGGAAAGGCAGCCAGTGAGAGCCCTGAGGGTTTCAGCTGTCCCTCCCCCGGGGTCAAGGTCTCTTCCCTGCCCAGCTCAGGCCTGGGGGAAGGCAGGGCATGTGGCCAGCTGTGGTGGGTCCAATTGGAAGTTCACAGACACACTTTTTCATCTCTGGGATTCCTCCGTGCACAGCCATGCCTCCTCATTTTTTGAGGTTCCTTCAAGGGTCCTCAGAGCCTGCCAGTGCTGGGCACCTGTTTCACGTGGCCTTCCAGGGAAATGGGACCAGGAAGCCGCTCAAATCCAGTGGCGATTCCACCTTCTCTAGGATTAGGTCTGTTTGCCACTCTTCCCCAGCCCTGCCACCACCTGCTGCCAACTCTTCCAGCCTATTTTTGGCTATAGACTTCAAGAAGGAACAACTGTTGTTTCCTGTAGTCCCTGAGCTGTGGGGGCCCCTTTAAAGCTGAGGGACCTCCCCCCAAGCTTGCCATCCAGTACAATTGTCATGCAGTTCCCTGCCCCCGACACACACCAGTGCCTGCACCCCAGAGGCCAGGGGCTGGAGATGGGCCATCCTCTTCCTATATACCTGGGAGCTGGGATACTCGGTATGAGATGGAATGGCCTGAGGTCCCCTGTCCAGGGCTCATCCAGGATTCAACCAAAACTGCAGCCACAGCCTGTGCTGGGTGCATGAGTCTTGATTTGGGTCCTTGGTATTTGAGCTCAGAGAGACAGGATTTTAGGAGGTTGGCTGCAAGAGGGTGAGGGAGAGAGGCACCCTTAGGTCCACCCAGAGGAGGGCCTCAAGCTGCCTCCAGGCCTGCAATGGCACCAGCATCAGTCAACTCTGAAAGCAAACACTATCCATTCTACTCAGTGCATATCCCATGCCTATGTCCTCCCATGCTCACCCATGAAGTAGACAAATCACAATGCTTCTCTCTTAGTTGCTTCATGAAAAGTGCTAAGCAAACTTCCTGGCTCGCACTCACAGTCCAGTAAATACACGTGAATGCCAGGTGGTCTCCTCAGGTGACCTGGACAGCCTCTGGCCCCAGCCATGTGGCTATCCCCCAGCCAGCCACCTGGACCCTCGATGCCCTGGCCCAGGTGGCGTTTCATTGGCAGAAAGCATCACAGGCCTTTTCTGGACTGCAGCATCTGGCAGAACTCCCAGGGCCCTCAATCTGTCATCCCTCCTGTCACAGGGACAGCAAGGACACCTGGATCAAATCTCCTAGGAGACAGAGTCTCTGTCCCATGCACCCACAGGGCGGACTGCACCCTGGCAGTGCATCCCAAAGAGCCAGGGACCACAGGACCCGAAAACAAAGCCTGCCTGGGCTTTTGCCCTATGGCACCCTAAACCAGCTCAAGGAACTTCCTGGGGTGGCATCTGCTCAACTACAGGTGATGACCCCCTCCAAACCACCACCCTGAGACTGAGGACAGATAAGATGGAGTCTCCTAGATAAAGTCGCATTACATTTCAGGATTCTAGCATTTTAAAACCATGGAAGCAGGTAATCTCTCTGTGGTTATTTCTGTCTCTTTGCCAGCTGCCATGCCCATCTGCAGGTGACCCCTTGACTACAGCGATGCTCTCCCTGGATAAAGCTCCAGGGGAAACCCAAGATCCAATGGAATAGACAGAGGTTTCCAGAAACCAAATTCAAAGCATGACAGCCTTTCCTCAATTCACAGACAGAACATCAAAACCAAATCTTTGCCACTACTTCAGGTCATGGTCGACTCGGTCATTTGGACCAAATGCTCAACTGAGGGTGAGTTTAAAAACAGTTCATTCTGAGCAGCTTTTCAAGTTATAGCTGTATTTATTTAACATGTATGTATTATGTCCTATAGGTCCTATCATATAAATGTGCACATGTATATATAGCTCAATCGAGGGCGTGGGGGAGCATGAGAAAGTGCTGGCTTCTCTCACTGTGTGATTGGCTAAGACCAGGAAACCCAGCAAAGACACAAAGCAGAGCTTCGCAAAACTCCTGGGGCAAACCCTAGGCGCACCAAGAAGGCATGCCTGGAAACGTTTCCAGCTTCAGGTTGGGGCCCCAGGAGTTGTCATCCAGGACGACACAGGTCCACTGGAAGTAGATCTGCCCTCCTTCTTTGCCTGTGGATTAAGCTGAATCCCAACCCGCTCCTCCTGCAGAAGATAACTTCATCCAGGGCTTCAAATGATTCCTACAGGTTTTCAGGTACAGCATGAGGTGCTCAACCAAAACAACAACAAAAGCAAAAACCAACCAAATCCAAGAGAAACAACAGACACCAGGAGCAGACACGTGAGGGCTCCGCAGGAGGAACCCTCTGACTGTGATGAGCATGCTCGAACACGCATAGAAGACAGGATAGGCAATTTGGCAGAAAACTGGAAATGACATTTTAATTATTTCTGTTTCATTTGTTTTAACATCTTTAATTGCATTAAAAAAAAAATAAAAAGAACCTGCAGGTACTAATTCCCCTGTCCAGGTCAACAGATGAATAACAAGTGAAAACCCCCCCACTGGGAAAAGCTGAAGAGGTAATCGCGCTCCATTCAAGGTTGCTGGCTTGAGAATGCACTTGTAGCAGTGACAAGACTTTGTGTAGGTGGCATCCTAATTCCTAGCGGAAATTTGTTGCTGATTTACAAAGTGCAATTAAAGACAATCTGAAAGGGCTTCCAGCTCCCTCTTCTCTTGAGCTTGCCTGGTTCCTATTTCTACCCCTGGCTCCGTCCGGCTCCCATCCACAGAGCATTCTGAGCTAGGGCCCTCCACACATGATCACATTTCATTTCCAGCCCTCAGTGAGGAGGCAGGAACTGTTCTCACATAATACAGGTTGGGGAGACTTCAACACAGCATGCTGAAGAGATGCCAGTTAATAAACAAGAGGGCCAGGTGAGCTGCTGGCCAGCAGGAGCCCTGGTTCCTGCAGCCAGGAGGCCTCGGAATTCTCTCCATGAACACTCATTAAACACCGCCTGTACAGGCCTGGCTCTAGGCACCCAAACCCAAGGCACAGGGTGGCGCATGTTTTCAAAACAGACCCCAGGTTTATCCATCTCTCTTCTCTCCCCTTTCTCTTCCTCATTTATGGAAGTCAGGGGATAGTACGCAGGGACATTCTAAGAGCCAGCCAGGCTACAGGCACAGGAGGGTAGGGGGAACACAACAGCCTGTTCTGGCCACCAGATCCCTCCCAGGATACCTGCATGATGGGAACATGCCGGTCCCTGGGGAGCTGAGGGGAGAACCCTCACTGTAGCCCAGGGTTCCAGGCCCCTTCCTAACTTGGGGTACAGGTAGGGTGGCCCAGCCTTCAGACAGGCCTCCCTGCCCACCGAGTTGGGGTGGAAGCAATAAACCTAGGCTGGGGCCAGCCAAAGTCTCAAGCCCGGGGTGGCAGAAGGCTTGGAGTCCCTTAGAGCTCACATCCAGCCCCCATTGGCCCCTGCCTTCTCAATGGCTTTACATGGCCCAGCAGGGATCCCTGGGAAACTCAGCAGGGAAGTAGGGCCAGGTGGACATGGAGAGGGACAGTGGAGGCCTGGCAGGACAAGAACAGAGCAAGATGCAGTAGCCTTGCGCAGGGTTGCTCTCCCTCCCAAGGCACCCAGGATGACATTGCACGAGGTAGAGCTCAGTCCTTCCTGGTGCTGACCCAGCGCTACCTGGAGGAAGAAGCTGCAGCTCCGTAGCTCAACTAGCTCAACAGAAGTGTGATGGCTGCAGTGGTGAGGGATGGCGGAGCATATACAGAACAGGGTGGAAAGGAGCAGGCGAAATGGAGCTGGGCAGGCTGCAGGGAGGGGAAGGCCGTCTCTGGAGAGCTACAGACGTCCTGGGGTCCAGGCGAATCAGTGGGGACACAGATGGGCAGTCCTGGGGTCACCTTGCCCAGCTGTAGGTTAGGAAGGAAACACATGAGGAGGGAGCAGGACTGAAGCTGGCCAGTGTCCTGCTGAGAGGGCCACAGCCAGCCAGGACGCAGGCGGAGACGCTGCTGCCACCACTGCCACCGCTGAGTCCCTGAGCCTTTCGGCCCTCCTAGGTCCTGGATAGCCCATCCCCCAGCACCTCCCCTTCCCCAAGATGGAGAGTTTCAGAGGACAAGGCAACTCACCCAGGGGGGTGCTACAGCTTCAGGGAGGTGACCCGGGGGATGTGGAAGAGCTGCGTCTCTTCGGAGCTGGTGGAGCTGTGGCAGCCCCCAGGGACAGTGAGAGAGCCCCCAGCACAGGGGCACACGTGGCTGGCAGAAGGACCCACCCTCTGGGACAGTGAGAGTCCCCAAGAAGGATGCCTTGTGGCGAGAAGGATAAGGGGCAGACCCGTGCAAGGACTTCCTGAGCCTGGAGATGCTCAGAGTGTGTGTGTGTAGGAGGGGGGCTCTTCAGGGCCATGCCAGGAGCACAGCCAGGAGTGCCCCTACTCTGCCTGGGAGGCCCCAGGAAGGGAGTTCCCGGTGGGGAGGAGCCACAGAAGGACACCTCCCTAGGTCCCACACGCCCCTCACCTGAGGCGTTTCCGGATAGGACGGAAGTATTTGGAGGTCTTGACGGCAAAGATGATGCTGGGGATGAGGAAGAAGGTGCACCACGCCAGGCAGAACCAGAAGGCATTCTGGAACAGGTGCATGCAGTCAGCTCACCTGGCCGGGGAGCCGTGCCGCCTTTCCTGGCTCCCTCAGCCCAGGGCAGGAGTAGCAGAGGGCAGAGCCAAGGGAAGCAGCTACTCCTCCCTTCCCACCTACCCCTGCCAGGAACCTGATGGATGTCCCCAATCCCTGAGGAGCTGGGGCACTCACCCAGGGGTCAGCCATCATGTCACACAGGATCACATGGCTGTTGTCCAGAGCTCCGGATAGGGGCTGGCAGGTGGCAATGTGTTGGGTCACCTGTGTTGACAACCACGTGGTCCGTATATGCAGACATCCAGACGCAGGGATGGAGAAAGAGAAAGGATACCTGGCTCTGGGCTGTAAGGCATGATCTCACGGGACAGGCATCGTAGGTGTCCCCATAGGCTCACCCAAGTACACAGGCACACTCATGGATGAGCCTGATGCCCTGCCAGTCTTAGTATGGGTGCCCAGGCAGTTCGTGGAGCCCATGGGTAGTGGTATCCAGAGGTCTGCCAGGGGAGCTGGCCTGGGCCAAGCTGGGCAAAAAGACAGTGGCCCACGGGAGGTGTGGCTGGAACGCTGTAGTGCAGCTCATAAGGCAGAGGCAGGGAGATGGGGGCAGAACAAGCCCGCTAGCTTGAGAGTTTTGGTTCAGACCAGAAGGAGCTCAGGAGTAGCAGGAGAAGCACAGAGCCAGAGGCCCAGCCTAAGGGAGGATGTCTGAGAGCAGGTGGGTCCAAGCCCCTACTCACCTCCTCCTTCACCCAGGCCAGGTACTGGGAGAAGTAGCCCATCTCCCGACTCAGGAAACATGCACTGACCTGCAGGCAAGGAGAGAATGCAGGCTGGGCAGGGGTCCCAGCACCTTCTTCCCCATGCCTGATGCCACGGGACAGAAGTCCATGCTGCTCTGGTCCCAAACCCTGCCCTCCATCTGCTGCCTGCACTCACGTTCCTCAGGATGTGGTTGGTCCGGGCAGGCAGCTCTGCTTTTAGACGAGTGATGTTGCTTAGGACTTCGGCAACCTCTAGCTGGAGGATGGGAGGGTGCTTGGACTCAGGGCCCCATCTAGCATGGGAGCGGCTGCTCGCTCGCTCCCTCCCTCCTTCCCTCCCTCGCCCATTCATCCATATATTCATTCATTCATCCATCCAATTCTAGAACTCTGAGAACACAGAGGCCAGAAATGTTGGTCCTCCAGGTTCTGGCCACCCACCCCATCTAATCCATCCACCCCTCAACTGTAGCCAGATCAGCAAAGCAGGCAAGCTCCCAGCCAGCTGAACTCCTTCCTTCCTCCCGGGGGCAAGGGTGTCTTCCTGCCCCACCCCCACAGACACCTGAAGCTTTGGGGTGGAGGACTCCAGGGCCCTGACGCTGAGCGTAAGTTTGGCCTGCAGAGAAAAGATGAAAGCTGATTAGGGGAAGGAGTGAGGAGAAAGGCAGTGGTCCCAGGGCTCTGCCCCATCCTTCCCTCCCGCCTCTGCCAGGCCCAGGCTCCCCTTACCACAAGGTTCTGCTGGACGGTGACCCTCTCCTGATAGAGATTTCTAAGTCGTTGGGCTTCCTCCTGCAGCTGTTGCCCCAGCCCAGGATTGACCTGCAGGGAGGCACAGGTGAATATGGCTCCTGCTTAGGCAGGACTGCCTTGGCCAAGATATTCTTGACTCAGCCTTTGAACTGGACATGTGAGGGCAGCTGAGCAAGTCCTGGGCTCAGAAGCAGAAAACCAAAGCTCCAGGACCTGACTCTGGGTCTAGACTCAAGTTCTCAGTTCCCCCCCTCATTTTCTGGGTGCCCTGATGAATGTTCCCTGCTCTATACACCACTCAGGGTTGCCGAAGTGTTCGTTCAATGTCACAAAGAGAGCTTGGACACTCCAGGGATGCTTATAGCCATGAAAAGCTGTTCTTCTCAAGATAGTGGCTGTCGGAGGGCCTGACCCATCGCTGTGTCCTTACTGCACTTGACCCAGCACATCTTGCAGGTGGCATGAGTACAGCCATTTGACTATGACCAGGTACAGGGCACCAGGAAAATGGCAGGACTTGCTTCTTGCCAAGGCAGGCTCCCATGGTGCAAGCTTCACACGCACTCATTTCTGATTCTAGATAGCAGAGCCCCACGTACATCAAGTTATGCTTCAAGGATAGATTGCCAGCTCTTCCTCCCTTTGGTAAACACCGTGGGACTTTTCTAGCCAGAGCAGAGTGGTCCACCCTAGGACAGGGTCCATCTCTGTCCCCTGCAGACCTTCTGGAGGCCTGAGTGATGACGCCACGGCTGTTCAGTACCTGGCCTTCGGTTTTGGCCTTTATCGCAGCTAGCAGGAAGATGAGCTGTTTCTCCTGCATTTTTCTGTGAAATCAGCACTTTCCCATGCAGCTTCAGTTAAAAACAAAAAAGCCAGAGCCTCTTCACTAAGCAGGGCAGCGGCGCTTGAGTGCTAATCCGCTGCTGTTGTCATCTGTCCTTGAACCTCCAGCCTGGTCTGTGTTTACCCTGATCAGGTGCTAAGGAGCAAGACCCAGATTCCGGGCATAAGGCTAGCTCCATCATCAGACAGAAGATGAGTGGTTCACCTTACGGATGAGGAAACTGAAGGCCAGAGAGGCCAGATGACATACCCAGGGCCACATAGCCCCACTGGTTGTAAAGTTTATGTTACAACCAAAGTGTGACACCCTCAAGCCAACTGACCCTGGAGATGAAGGAGGCTTCCTACCTCTGAGACCAGGAGTGGGTGAGGAGCCTAGGACCTCAACCCCTTGTCTCTGCCCTCCCTTTTCCAAGTTTGCCCCGCCCGAGCCCCACCTCCCAGACTCCTTCCCCTACGGACTAGTAGTATCTCTGTTCTCTCACTTGGGCCTGGGCCAGTGCCTCCAACTGCTGGGCCAACTGCTCCGTGTCGGTCTTCACCACGGGCTTCTGGATCTGAGGGCAGAAGGTAGAAGCCAAGATGGAGATGGCTCTAGGTTTCCCCAGTGCCCAACCATTATCCTCCAGCCTCTGAATGCCCAACCTTGGCAAGAGCCCTCTGCATCTGCTCAATGTATTGAGATATACTCGCCACTGTGAGTCTGGCCCTGATCTGAGAAATCTTTCAGATATTTTTCAACAAGATAAAACAACAAGTAAGTGAGGGGCCCTCTGGTTAGGCTTCAAGGAAGACATGACTGCTCCCCAGCATTCCCCCAGCAGTGTGTTCAGGACCATGAACAGCGACTCATGCTATTGGGGTTGCAGGGCAACACTCTGGGGGAGACCCTCAATAGAAAGGCACAAGACACCTGTGGGAGTGTGAAGGAAGGTTGAGGACATGGACACGGTCTCCTGCCAAGCTTCTCTGTGGGCCTCTCTGCTCGTCCTGACCCCCTGCAGGGTGTGCTCACCTGGACAAGCAAGTCCTGGTAGTTGATGCTCTCGATCCCGCTGCTCTTCAGGGCTTCCAGGTCCCGGTGAGCAGCTGGAGTCAGCAGATCCAGCTCCTGCATGTCCATTTTGAGACCCTGCACCTGCTGCTGCAGTTTCTGAGCAAACTGGGAGGGCCAAAGGAGGGCAGGGCATGGAGCACGTGCTGGGCCAGGGTCCTGGACATCTTCCCTTGCCTTGAGCACAACTCCAGCCCAAACAGGCTCTCAAGAGGCTTATTGCTCCTTCCACACAGTTAAGACCCAGCCTCCTGGGCCCGGCACGATAGCGTAGGGGCTAAAGTCCTCACCGTGCACGCCCGGAACCCCATATGGGCACCTGTTCTAATCCTGGCAGCCCCGCTTCCCGTCCCGCTCCTTGCTTATGGCCTGGGAAAGCAGTCGAGGACGGCCCAAGGCCTTGGGACCCTGCACCCACGTGGGAGACCCGGAAGAGGCTCCTGGTTTCTGGCTTCGGATTGGCATAGCTCCGGCCATTGGGGCCGCTTGGGGAGTGAACCATCGGACAGAAGATCTTCCTCTCTGTCTCTCCTTCTCTATATATATCTGACTTTGCGATAAAAATAAAATAAATCTTAAAAAAAAAAGACCCAGCCTCCTGCCAGGGTTTGAGCTACCGGGCTGTGACAGACCTTCCCTGGTCACCTGCTATCTGTCAGCACTTGTGCCTGACTTTAGCACCTCACCTGCGCTTCCTTGTTCTTCATTGCACCTAAGGCTCTGCGATCACTTGTGTGTGTGCTTGTTCCTGACAGTGGAACCTTGCCTGTCTGTCTTTTCCCAACCCTTAGCATCTAGAGCAGAGGACCCCCACACAGTGGGTGAAGACAAATCTGCGAACTGTGTGATTAAATGAATGAAGGAATGGACACAGCTACTTTTCCAGGCAAGACCCTGGGCATTTCCCAACGACCCCTGGAAGAGATTTAGAGTTTGTGATCTCCAACCTAAAGAAGCTAAGGTCAGAGAAGAGCGTTGATGTGCCATGGTCCTGCAGCAAGTTAGAGGACACAGCCCAGGCCGGCTCACCCCTCCTTTCCACCCCACTTCCTCTATAGCTAGGAGAAAAGGCCTGACCTCCCGAGGGCAGCACTGGGGCCATGCCGACAGCGAGGATGGGACCCATGCTCTGGAAACCACACCTTGACCTGCTCACCTGCTCATAATCAAATCACTAGGACCTGCTTTAAGAAATTACCTGGCGTGGTAACCTAGCGGCTAAAGTCCTCACCTTGCATGTGCTGAGATACCCTGTGGGCACTGGTTTGTGTCCTGGCGGCTCCACTTCCCATCCAGCTCCCTGCTTGTGGCCTGGGAAAGCAGTTGAGGACGGCCCAAAGCCTTGGGAACCTGCACCGATGTGGGAGACCCAGAAGAAGCTCCTGGATCCTGGCTTCAGATTGGCTCAGCTCTAGCCATTGCAGCCAGTTGGAGAGTGAACCAGCAGATGGAAGATCTTCCTTTGTTTCTCCTCCTCTCTGTATATTTGTCTTTCCAATTTAAAAAAAAAATAAAATCTTAAAAGAACTTTTTTTTAAAAAATTGAGAAGCAGAGAGAGAAAGGGAAAGGAGAGGAGAGAGAGAGAAAGAATGCTCATCTGTGACTTCTCTAACACCCACAGGGCTAGGTCTGGTTAAATCCAGAAACCAGCAAGTCAAGCCCACTGCCTTCCAGTGTGTGCATTTAGCAGGAGGCCAAACTTGGGAGCCAGAGCCAGGATTCAAAGCCAGGCACTGTCACCGGCGTCTTAGCTGCTAGGCCAGATGCCTGCCCCAAAGACGGAAAAAAAAAAATATATATATATATACATATATATATATATATATATAAATTATATATATATTTGATTTCTTTTTTAATTAAAAAGGCAGATGTACAAAGAGAAGGAGAGATAGAGAGAAATATCCATCTGTGGGTTCACTCCTCAAGTAGCCACAATGATCAGAGCTGAGCCAAACCACAGGCAGGAACCAGGAGCTTCTTCTGGGTCTCCCACACAGGTGCAGGGTCCCAAGGCTTTGGGTCGTCCTCTACTGTTTTCCCAGGTCACAGGCAGAGAGCTAAATGGGAAGTGGAACAGCTGGGACACAAACTGGTACCCATATGGGATCCTAGCAGATACAAGGTAAGGAGTTAACCACTAGGCTATCGCACTGAGAGCAAGATAAATATTTTAAGGTCACAGCAGCCCTGTGATGGCAGGAAGAAGATTGGGAGTCAAGCAGTTGGTTAGGCTTGAGGCAGAGTCCCTGACTCCACCTGCTGGCTCTGTGAGCCCTCAGCAGTATCACCCAGTTTCATCACTGACACCCTCTCACCTCCCAATCAATGTCTGTCCTCAGTCAGGACACACTCCTGCCACCATCCTTCCCTGTCATAACCTCAGCCATGGTCAGTTGTCCAGAAGCACAGTGTTCAGAGTTGGCCATGACCTCTAGGTTGTCACATGCCTGAATCTTCCCCAGGTGCCATCCCTGATCCTGTAGCTAAGGTCTACACTCCGAGGATGTCAGCTGCTCTTACAGAAAGACAGCTGCTCCCACAGAAGCAAGACAACAGGAGCGGGGAGAATGCAGAAGGTGGTCCTCAGAACCTTCCAGAATTTTCTCCTACCTGGCTTACATCCAGGTGCTTCTCTAGGTCGTAGGAGTCGTTGAGCTGCAGAACCTTCCAGAGCGCGGCCCCCTCCTTGCACTGCCTGAGAGGGAATGTTGGGCAACAAGAGTGAGCAGCAGTGGATGGCAGATCCAAGGGACTCCTTGCCCCACGCCCCTCCCGGTGCGCAGCCGCAGCCCAGGCTAGCTACTCACTGATAGGCCAGGAGGATGCTGAGGTTCTTCTGCAGGCCCAGAAGATGGGACAGGTTCATGGACGGGGGCAAGTTTCCCGGTGTGTCTACAAACTGGCAATGGGTAGGGAGAGATGAGGTATTGGAGGAGGGGGCAGTGCTGCGGGCAAGGACCCTCCGTCCCAAGGTCCCCTAGCACCTGGCCTATGCTGTCCTGGTGCCACAGACACCTGGGGCAGGTGACACCCCTGCAACTCCCATTCCAAACTGACCTCTAGCTTCAGTTACCCCGGGCCCTAACTCCTGGGAACCCCTGCCATGAAGCATGGGGTGCTGCGGCTAGCAACTCAGCTCATCCGCTAGTGAGCACACAGTGGTTCTGGACCAAGGGTTACAGAAAGAGCTTGAATCTGGGTGCTCTTCCCCAGGATTTCCATCCAAGTGCCTGGGCAGCAGTCCAGGACTCACAGGGCCCTCTGGCTCCTTGTTGCCCCACCCCATCCACTGGAGATTTTCTGCTTTTCTCCCTGGCCATTTCTATTCTCATTCCTCCCGCTCTGGCCCCTAACCCTTTCGTTCTGCCTCCCCTCCCTCCACCCGTGCCTGGGCCCACCTCAAACAGCTCTCCGCTCTCCCAGCTCTGGCACACCAGGGTCTGCACATTGCCGCCCACCAGGAAGGTGGCGAAGACCAGGAGGATGAGGGGTGCAGCGAACAGGAAACTGAAGCCTACACCTCTGGGAAGTGTGACAGATGCGTCACGGGAGAGGGGACACTGGCTGCCCCCCACTCCCGTACACACACATGCCAGAACCAGCCTGGCCAGAGAGCTGGCCCCAGGGCTGAGCCTTCCGGGCAGAGGAGCTGGCCAGCGCCAGCCTCCTGCATGGGAGGGAGGACTCAGAAAACTCCTGCCTATTCACTCGTCATCACTGGGGCCCTGCTGGGCCTGATGACAGGTGCGGAGTGGGGGAGGGAGGAGGAAGGCAGCTGCTTTGCTCCTTGCTTTTCTGAGAGGCAGACAGACACAGAGCTGCTGTCTGCCGGTCCACTCCCAAATGCACACAGCGGCTGGGCAGAGCATGCTGAAGCCAGCAGCTAGGAGCATCATCCCAAGTGGACTCGTCCACTTGCGTCATCGCCGGCTCCTCGTGGGGTGTGCTTGGGGAGGCAGCAGAAACTTGAACTCTGGCACTCTGATGTGGGAGACACATATCCCAGCTGCATCTCAACTGACAGGTCGAGCACCCCCAAGCTCCCTGCCCCCTGATATTTGTTTGGAGGAGAGCCAGGACTGTCAGCTTCGGAGTGTGGGAGGTTCAGGAAGATGAGAACCCATCCCTCCAAGGGGTCCCCTTGGCCTGTTCAGGTATGACCCATCAGCTTGTCTGAGTAACTATGACTCTCAGAGCAGGAGCTACTGATTTGTGGGGCCTGTTGGGCAGTGAGCTCTAGAGCTTGGAGAGTGAAGCGTGGGGTGCTCTTCAGCCCCCCTCTCCTCCCAGGCCAGCCACCCTTGTTGAATACACAGCATGTACAACAGTATATGGCAGCCCTGACCTTGAAGTCTAGGGATGTCAAACTCTACATCTGTCTGTTGGTGGTGGTAGATATCTGGAAGGTGGCTTAAAAAAGATTCTGAGGTTGTGAGAAAGTGCCAACTGGGTATTGCAGTGGTTACCAGCACACAGAGGAAAGGGCTTCTTATTGGCCATTGCTTCTCTAGTCCAACCTGTATGCAAATGAGGCATCCCAGGTCCCATGGCAAGTTGCCCAGGATCACCCAGGGAGTGAAGGGTGCCAGGTCAGCACCGAAGCTCAGGCCCTTGCCTCCCAGGAAGTTGTTACTGTAGCCCCTCCAGGGACACAGGAGTGAGGGGGAATCTGGCTGACACAGTCTCCCTGCTGTCCTCCAACCCAGCCCCGACTTACACCATGAGGAAGCGGGCTCCAGCCTCGCCCCTGGCTTCTGAGTGGCTGGAGTCCTCCCGAGCAGACAGCCCCCAGATCCCCAAGTTGAGGCCCAGCAGGTTGCACAGCACTATGAGCAGGAGGACGGAACACAGCACACAGCCCACAATCCACCTGTCAGTGAGGGCGCGGGGTCACTGAGAAGAGAAGCAGCTGACCACAGCATGGGACAGGATTGGCTGGCATGCTGTGGATAATCTAAGACTCCTGGAGTCCCACGGCCAGGCAGAGAGCCAAAGACCCCAAGAGTCAGGAGTCCTGACTCTGCCAGGCTCAGGGCACCCAGGCAGATCAGCGGGGGACTGGAAATAGGGCTCAGAGAAGACAGGGCCGCCCCGTCCACCCTCACCTGCCCCCTCCCCCCATCCACCCTTGCCCTACGGTTGGCAGGCACCATGTACCTATAGGTCTCGTATCTCTGCACTTCCTGCAGGTAGGGGCGGCTGTTCCGTTCCAAGTCCTCCAGGGCCTGGCTCCATTGGGAGGCTGTCTGTAAGCCTGGGAACCCCTCGGCCAAGGTCCTCAGTCCTTGGGGCTCCTGGGCCACTATCTCCTTCAACTCTGCTCAAAGCAGTGGAAAAAGTGGGGTGAGGGTAGGGAGGATAGAGGGACTTGCGGCATGATGAGGGTACCCAGAGGCCAGGCAGGAGGGACATCTAGACCCACCAAGGTTCAACTACCTTCTGGGGGCCCAGCCAAGGAAGCCAGCCTTCTCCCTGCCCATCACTTGCCACTGACTACAGCTCCTTGGTGGAGGTCTTGGTGGGGACGATGTTCTGGGGAAGGGCCTCACCTTTGATTGTGTTGGCCATCTGCATGCCAGCCAGCAGTGGGAGGGCGTTGAAGGTGTTGTTGTCCTGCAGGGTGGGGGGAACCAAGAGGGGTTCTGCTATCTTCCACCTGGTGTTCCCAAGTTTGGGGCACCCCAAAGTCGCCAGACCCAGTGGAAAACCCATACCTTATTCTCCAGGCTATTGTCTCCCCACATCACTCTTTTGGTTCAGTCTGGCCAAACTCCCCAGGTTGCTCCTGCAGACCCCCACCTTAACCCCCTTTTCCTCCCCAGCACCCATCTGTAGTCCTCAATTCAGCCATATCCTCATGTCTCCCATGCACCCTACACTTAACCTGCCTCCTGCAGGCCTCCCACTTCCCCCTACCCCCACCCTGGGAGCCTTTGGCTCCAGCCACCCGGACCGACTGACTCACCCTTGGTCTGACTCAGGGCCCTGGGTCACAGGAGCTGACTCACGTTCTGCTCCCCACCCCCCCAGGTCTGCAGGGTGCTGGTTCCCTTGCCACTCCCAGGCCCACTTCCTTTGAGGGTCTCTGGCTCTTCTTGTGAAGCCTCAGGCCCACCTTTCTCCACAAAGGAGGGTGCCTCCATCCCAGGACACAAAGTGGTAGGTGAGACCTTTAGGCAAGTTCAACTGAGCTCCCACCCCAAAAAGGGAAAGCTGAGGTCCCTCATTTGCGGGGACCAGTGGGTGGCCCAGGTAGAGCACTCACCTCCTCGACCATGCTGGAAAAGTTGGCCTCCGGGACACCCCTTAGACGATGCAGGACAGTGTGCATGGAAGGCACCTGCGGGAACCAGAGGGGTGGTGGGGAGACAGATTATGACAGTGATAGCCAAGCAAGGTTCCTGAGAGGGACAGGCAACATGGGGATCACCCCGGATGATAACAAGAATGCAGGAAGTTCATATGATTCAGGAAGAGATCCTGACCCATGCCCAGGACATCCATCCTTAAGGGAAGAGGAACTCCCAGATGGGGCACAGGTGCCCAGGCACTCCTGGGCCAGAGGGAGTGCCTTGGGCAGCCCTTCCAAGCACCCACTGCAAAGAGGCCTCTTTTGTGGGCCTGTACCTGGCTGAAGTCAGCACCCAGCTCCAGGGTGTGGGCCTGCTCCAGGGCCCGTGGGCAGTCGCCCTGGCACCCGGGCTCCTGCAGCAAGGCTAGGAGGTGTTCCCGGCGCTCGCGCATGGCCAACTCCAGGGGCTCCTGCCGACCCTGCAGCTCTGTCAAGGTGTCATTGAGGGCTCGGAGGTGATCCGTGAAGACCTGCAGGGCTGAGAGAGCCGCACCTGGTCTCGTCGAGCTCCACGGCTCCCGTCCTCTTGGCTGGAGGCAGAACATCCCTTCCCCCAGCCAACAGGGACCTGCCATCTTTAACCTCCCCAGTTTCTGTGGAAACTGCCCTGGGGCACGTGTAGAGCCAGGAAATGGGCCTGGTTGGGATAATCTTGGGGTAATGAATGCAATGAAAAAGTCATGGGCAGGGCTGAAGTGGTCTAAGAAATTCAGGGCTGGGTGAGGCTGGACTTGCCCCTCCCCTACAGAGCACTGGTCTCTCCCCCTCCCTCCCCCCCCCCCCCCCCCCCCCCGCCTCACCTTGGCCCAGGCTGTGCAATGAGGCCAGTGCCAAGTACACCGTGCTGCTGAGCCCACTGTGGAGGATGTTCCCAATGAGCTCTCCGGCACCTGGAAAGCACACGGTGTCTGCAGCCTGCAGGCCCAGAGGCCCAGAGCCCACCTGTCCATCCTGCCTCCCAGGCCCTCCCAGGCCCTGGGGGGGTGTAGGGTAGAGGATGGGAGGGGTGCTGGTGGGGGGGCCCTGGGGCTGGCCAGGCTGCCAGTCAGCTGTAACCCTCACCATCCAGCTCCTTCAGGACTCGCCCCTGGGGCAGCGAGAATTGCTGTGCCACAGCCTGCAGCTCCTAGGAAACAGGGCTGTGAGCCACCACTCCCAGCCACCTGCAGCTCCCTGTCTGCTGACGATGCCCTTGGTGCACTACACCAAAGCTCGAGGGGACGGGAAACAAAGAAAGGACCTCCTTTTTGATCCGCAAGCTCTGGGTTCTGGAAGACCCACTGCGCCCTGTGTCCTGCCAGGCGACCGAGGTTCAGGGGTTTTGGGGGCTCACCTGAGGCACATTGGAGACCAGGCCCTGGAGGCTGCGCAGGGTCTCCGGCACCGCCTCCACACTGGGGCCTGTGTGCTCATGGGTTCGCTGGTTGGTGACAAAGGCACAGACCAGCCCCACCCTGGGAGGAAAAAGAGGAGGGGAACAGGGGCTTGCTGCGAGCGGAGGGGGATGGGGCCACCGCCCAGCCTCCCCGCCTTGACCTGGGTGGCCCCTCACAGCAGCACGAGGGTGGTCAGCAGCAGGAAGACCATGAGGGTGCCACGCTCACAGGCCATGGCCTTGTGCTCCGTCTTCACGCGACCTCCGCAGCGACGGCGGCAGCGGCACCAGCCAAAGCACAGCCCGGTGGTGGGGACGGCCAGGAGGTAGAGGCCGGCAATAACAGCACATACCACATAACCAGCCTCATACCGCACCACCTGCACGGGACAGCAGTAAGGCATGAGCCAACCACCCTGATGCCACCTGTGGCCCACAGCCCAGGGCCCCTGCCTGGCTGCAGACAGGAAGTTCAAGTCCAGCAGCAGCAAGCCTGGCTGCCGCTACGGGGCAGAGCTGAGATTGGAACTCAGCACTTGTGGAGGAGGGAAGGAGAGCGAGGCCGGAGCCACCCTCCCCACTACCACCACCGGGTAGGCACCCACAGCCAGGGGCTAGGCTTTTCTCTTGCTCACCCCTGCACGGCCTCCCGCACTCCCACCCTGCCCCAGTTCTCACCTCATTCACCTTCACGGAGGTTGGATCATTTAACAGGGTCTTCACCAACTCTAGTGGAGAGAGCCAAGCCAGGAGTTTGCACCCTCCCAGATCCAAGCCTTCTCCCCCGTCAGGCCAAGCGGAGCCCCATGAGGCGTTCTTGCCCCATGTGTTCCCCGCCTGCTGGCACCCCCGCTGCCACCTCCAAATTCCACCCAGGGCAGTGGCCAGGCCTGGGCAGAGAGCTGCAGCAGGGAGCAGCAACAGCCTGAGAAAGGGCCAGGCATGTACCTGGCCTAGCACAGCAGGGGTTGGGTGCCCCAGCCCCTCCCAGCCCTCCTGAGCCTGGCTCCACTGGACTCGGGAAACAACAGCAAAGGCAGGTCTAATACAAGGTGCTTCTAATGCAACCTCCTGCACTTGATACATGGAAGTGGGGGCTCAGAAGGGTGGCTTGTCCAAGGTCACATGGAAGGTTCTGGAGTCCTCTCCAGATGCTGCTCTGTCCCACATGGGGCTTTTGTGAAGGAAGAGGTTGGTTGGGGAGGGCGGGGGATAAAGGGGGAATCCTTCCCTCGCAGTGCCTGCTGACAGGGTGGGCTCATCCTAGGGCTAACAGGGGGAGGGGGTGGGGGGAGTAAGGCGCTGCCCAGGAGCTCCCTAACCAGCTGAGACCGTCCTGGTCGCAGTGGTGGACACAACTCACCTGAAGGGAACGGGTTGAGCTGCACTGCCGAGAGGAAGCGACGCACGGTGCCATAGAGGGGGTCCAGGGGCCCCGGCGGCCGAACGCGAGGGGTCAGCCAGCGGGTCCTGGCTGCAGGTGCGAACGTCAGGCGCTCTGCCTGGCCGAGGAAGTCGCAGTCGGCGGCGGCCACCCTGGGCAGGCTCTGGGCTAGTCCCAGCAGCAGGCCCAGCAGGGACGCCCCCACGAGGCCCCCGGTGCGCGCCATGGGGGTCACTTGGGTGGGTAACTAGGCAGGCTCAGGCGGCGGAGGGTACACGCGAGCACAGGGCAGGACAGGCATCCTTCCCCAGCCTTCCTCCCTCTGTCCCCTTGGCTCTCTTCTCAAAACCGGTCGGGCAGGTTTGAGCTCCCCGGGCTACCTGGGCGCCCGCCCCTCCCGCCCGCCTGCTTGCCTGCCTAGAGTATAGGAAGGGCAGGGGCGGAGGCCTGGGTAAAGGGGGCAGGGCCTGCCCGGGTCTTCTCTTGATGGTCCAAGCGGGAAGCCTTGCGCCTACATCCTCCCAGGCAAGGGCCACCTCTTAGTTAGTCCAAGAGGCTTCTATGTGGCTCTGGATTAAGTTCAAATAGCCTATCCCATGCTGGGGCCCCTGCAGAATCAATCCAGGGCAGCAGTGTCCCCAGGGGTCACACCTGGTACCCACAGCCAGCCAGCTGGGAGCAGCAGCTTCTGACAAGCGCAGTTTGGGGATGGTGATGGCCACAAGGTGCCCTCAGCGGAAGGTGCTCATCTAGGCTGTACCCACAGATGAGTCTGCACAGGCCCCTGCTTTGTATGCCCGGTGCCCAGAAAGCTGACTGCTGCCATGCAGGTGACAGGGGAGAAAGTGCTGAATGGGTGATGTCAGACCACGGAACTGGTCCCCGAGGCCCGCCCCCAGGAGATGGCCCTAAGAACAGCCCGCATGACCCGCTGGGGAGTGACCACGGAGAACCAGCTAGAAGCTTTTTGACGTGAAAGATTCTTGTTAGGTGTGAATGAGCACTGAGCACCGACAGCAGGTCACAGGGAAGGCTAGGAATAGTCATCCTCTTTTTGAATCTTTATCTCCTCGGCTCGTCTTTGGACAGTTCGTGGAAAACATCTGTTATGTAAAAACAAACAAAACAGAAAAATGACACAAGCGTTTCCAAAGTGTTTTGTACCAAAATACATTTAGCTTTTAATTCCATTTCGTGTTTCGCATCCTAACTTTTGTTCATGAAGCACCTGTTCATGTGTTCACAGAAGTAAAAGCAGCCTGTGAATTTCCATGTCAGCCTGCCAGCTGACATCGAGGGAGGGGCTAGCTGTGTGGTTCCTGGGATGCTTTGAGTTGAGCTCAGGGCAGTGTTCAGAACTGGGTTGTGGGATTTGGATCAGCTGTAATCCTGAAGAAGTCTTAAGTTGGACACAGCAGTGACTCTTGGCAAGTTCCTGCTTGGGACGCCGTGGTCTTGTAGGTGAGTGCCTGGACGTGCTGGGTGGCTCCTCTGTGATGCCAGCTCTGTGCTGAGGCTGCAGGCAAGGGCCCGTGTAGCTGTGTTCCTGCCACCTCCTGTGATGGACCTGGATTGAGCTCTGGGCTCCAGGCTGCGGCCTGGCCCTGCCCTGCTCTAGCCATTTCTACACATTTGGAGAAGGGACCAATGGATGGAAGACAGTGCTCTCTCTGTCCCTACCTTTCAAATGAAAATGAGAAACTGAAGTTGGAGTCAGGGCTGATCTCCAGTGCAGTTCTCCCCCTTCCCATGGAGGCCCCAACATCCAGTGAATGAGAAATGGGTTCTCTTCAAAGGGAAATGTAGAAATGAAAATCAGGGCTGCTTCCGGGAGGAATGGCTGGGATGCCGGCTTTGGCTCCCAGGGAGGAGGCAGTGTGGAGCAAGGCCCCTGAATGGGGGCTGTCTTGGCCCACAGCCTATCCCTTTGGGCTTACCTGAGCAGATGTCTGTGTTGGAACTTCCGGGCCTCATAGGGAACCTGCTGCTGGGAAGGGCTGGTCCCTCCAGGGCCTGTCAGCTGCCTTCTTTCTCCCTCCCTCTCTCCACCCTGGCAGTCAGTGAAATTGGTAGAAACAACCATTGTTCTAGCAATCATTTTCTAACTTTAGTCCCCATTCCCTCAGGGTGGGAATTACCCTTGGCCAACTCTGGTTATCACCCCCTAAGGGTCCGTGAGTAGGTGACCTGACTTGATGTAGGTTTTCTGACTTGATGCACTGGCAATGGGAGGATTTAGGTCCCAGCTCCCCAGGAAGGATCTGAAGCCTTTGGGAGTCTTGGGAAATAAGCAGGTTCTCCACTACCCACACCCTCTCTCTCAAGGATTGTAATTAAGCCAGTCAGCAGCAGCTGCTATTGTTTCCATAAACATCTGCAATAAAAACACTATACTTTGAAGGTAAGATTTCCCTTGGCCAGGGCATAGGGAGTGCGTTCATCCTGTTCTCAGCCTGGAGGCGGGAGAGATGATGCAGAGGTACCTATTTGACAGGTGGAAAAACTGAGGTGCAAAAAAGAAAACTTTCTCAAGCCAGGGGCCACACCCCACACTTCCTTCCAGAGCAGGCTCCATTGAGACACTCTGTCATCACTGACAGATCCATTAGTAGCCCCGCCCAGGAAACAGGAGGAAGCTAAGGCTAAGGAGGCAGAAGAGCTGCCCCCACGGCTGACCTCCCCACAGGGGAGCCTGCTGTGTGGGCATCCTGCTTGTCCTTGGGGATGTCTCCTGCTTTCCAGGAAGGGACTGGCAGGCGGAAGAGATGGAGGGTTCTGGAAGTGGGGCAGGGGCCAGGCGGGGCCAGAGAGCTGCCCTGCCCTTCCCCCTTATTCCCACCTCTCCGGACCCCCTTGCACCTCCCTTCCTTGTCCCGCAGGACCCAGTGTCTTTCATACGAGTCCTCTCGTTGACGTGGCACACCTGAACTATTTATCTGGGGGCTGCATTCCCACCATTAATGCCTTCTTCCCCAACAGTTTGGTGCTTTCTAAGCTGCACAGTGCTCAGGTGGAGGTGGGAGGAACATGGAGACCCAAGCAAGGGGAAGCTTCTACCTTCCACCATGTACTTGGACCCTGCCAAGACCAGGGAGGAAGACCGGGCCAGCTGTCATCAAAGAGAAAGTAGATGCCTGGGGATGGATCTTTAACCAACCCCAGAGATGAAGACCCACTTACCAGATCCTGGAGGCCAACGTTGTCTTAGTCAACACTCTTGATGGTGAAAGTTAAACCCCACTTGGACCAGTGGAAAGATTTTAAAAGTGGGAATTGGTTACAGAAATACAAGGGACCAGAGGACAAGAGGCTTTAGGAAGATTCAGAGCCCAGAACTGGAGATTTCTCAGGCACCCACTGCTTTCTCCCATGGCACACCGGCCCCTCTGTCCCCAACACACACTGTCCTTGCAGGTGCTTACTCTGAATCCTACTGGCAGGCCAACTCTTCAACCTTGGTGGGAAGATACAGAGGAGTCCAACCAAAAGCAGCATCCCCTCTGTCCACCATGGACTGTCACCCAGCATGACAGCTTCATGTGCACAGGCACAGCTGGTGGGCCCAAGCTGACAGCGTATGGTGTGTGTGTGAGAGAGAGAACAGGCACAGCAAAAGGTGTTGGTTACAGCCATGGAAGAAGAATATGTGTGGGAATATTTTGGAGGGTTTCCACTAGCGTGCTGGCTTCCTGTCCTGCCACCTCATGAAGGTTGCCCCCTGGTTTTTTTTTTTTAAAGATTTATTTTTATGATTTTTTTATTGGAAAGGCAGATATACAGAGAGGAGAGACAGAGAGGAAGATCTTCCGTCCGATGATTCACTCCCCAAGTGAGCGCAACGGGTCGATACTATGCCGATCCGAAGCCAGGAGCCTCTTCCGGGTCTCCCACGTGGGTGCAGGTTCCCAAGGCTTTGGGCTGTCCTCGACTGCTTTCCCAGGCCACAAGCAGGGAGCTGGAAGGGAAGCGGGGCTGCCGGGATTAGAACCGGCGCCCATATGGGATCCCGGGCGTGCAAGGCGAGGATCTTTAACCACTTGCGCCACTGCGCCGGGCCCGCCCCCTGGTTTTAAATGCTTCCATATTTCCAGCACCAGGCCCTTCACCATGGGAACCTACTTCAGTTCACCTGCTGCTTCTTGAGATGCTCTTTGTACCCCAGCCCTGAGCACAGAACTCAACACATAGTGTATTCTCCATGATTGCTTCTCCAAGCTTTGGGGAAGCAGATTTCAATCTGTTGCACTGAGCATCAGGCCCTGACTAGCCTGCCTTCATGGGCCCAGAATTCTCCCATCTAACATCAAGCCCATTGACTGTTATGGAATTTATTGAATAGTGCACTGAAAAGGAAAAACAGATGGGTTAGATGAGCTTGCTTTCACACCATCACCAAGTTGAGCCATGTAAGTCAGTAGTGATCAGGGTAGGGAAGGCAGGGGCCCAGGCAGATGAGCTTCTAGAAAGATCTCCCAGGAGGACTTGGAGCCAGGCCCACTGGGTAGGCTCTGCACTCTGTGCCTGGGCGGTTGTGTCCTGTAACTGTGTCCCCAAGACTTGCTGGCTTCAACACCAAAAGGGAGCTCGGCATCTGCCAACTGAGCCAGGTTTCATGGAGAACCTGGACTGCAAGTGTCTCCTCTTCTTGTTTGCCAGTGTGTCCCCACTGCCCGTCTCTCCAAGGTCATGGACAAAGGCTTGTGTGAAGGTCAGGAGCTGGGTTGGTTCCATCTGTTTGTCACATAAGCTCCCTGCTCTCCCAGTGGCATGGCAGCCATGGCCCCTTGGGAGAAGATGGAGACTGAGGCTGAGGTGCAGAGCCTCAAGTTACACAGGGATTGGGGGGTGGGCACACGCTGTCCAACAGCATCAGAGGATCCCTGAAGAACCCAACTGAGGGGGCCCGGTGGTGTGGCCTAGCAGCTAAAGTCCTCGCCTTGAACGTGCCGGGGTCTCATATGGGTGCCGGTTCTAATCCCGGCAGCTCCACTTCCCATCCAGCTCCCTGCTTGTGGCCTGGGAAAGCAGTCGAGGACAGCCCAAAGCTTTGGGACCTTTCCCCTGTGTGGGATACCCGGAAGAAGTTCCTGGCTCCCGGCTTCGGACTGGCATAGCATCAGCTGTTGCGCTCACTTGGGGAGTGAATCATTGGATGGAAGATCTTCCTCTCTGTCTCTCCTCCTCGCTGTATATCTGACTTTCCAATAAATAAATAAATCTTAAAAA